TTGGCTATGGACCGCGGCGGTCGCATCGCGAGCGGCCTACCCGAGCCGTTGGCCGCACCCTTAGCACCGCGCACCGGCACCGGCGCCGCGGCGCCCGCCGGCGGCGGTGGGTTCGGCCGGCCAGCCTGACCCGCCGGGACGCCGTACGAGATGCCGTCGGCATCCGTTGCCTTGCGCTTCTTCGCCGCCAGCACGTCCGGCACCTCGTCGCGCACAATAATGCCCTTGCGCTTCTTCGGATCGCCCGGCGGCGCTGCGCCGTTGCCCGTGCCATTCGGCCTGCCGTTGGCCGGAGACGACGACGACGACGCCACTGGAGGTGGAGGACGAGGGCGTGCGGGGAGCCCCTGTCGCTGCGGCTGCGGCTGCGGCTGCGGCTGCGACTGCTGCGCCATGGCCCTCGGCGACGCCTTGGGACCCGACGGTGTTGACCCAGCCCCGGCCCCGGTCGCGCTGGAGCCACTGACCGGCCTCGGCCGCACCGTCGGCACGCCACCAGGCCGCGCTCCCCCCGGTGGTGGGGCCCGCGATCCGGCCGACGGCATCGGCTCTGGCGGCGCCACCTTGGCCAGCACCGTCTTGCTCGTCTTGGTAAACGTGGCCACCGTGACATTCTGCAGAGCCTGCCGCTCCCGCGCCGTCGCCACGAGCTGCTGCCACAGCGGATCGCTGCGGCTCAGGTGGTCGGCATTGCCCACGACGAACAGGTTGCTCTTGGCGCGCGTGATGGCGACATTGACGCGGCGGCGGTCGCCGAGGAAGCCAATCGAGCGCGCCTCGCCGCTCGAACGCACGCAGCTGAGGATGATGATGTCCTTTTCCTGGCCCTGGAAGCCGTCGACCGTGTTAAAGTCGATCGTGTGGTGGATGTCCTGGCCGTAGCGCGCGGCAAACGTGCGCTTGAGCTCAAACAGCTGCGCCTTGTACATGGTGACGATGCCCACGCGGTAGTCGAGGTCGGTCTGCGGGTAGTCCTGCCGCAGGCGCTCGTAGATGGCCAGCGCCACGTTGGCCTCCTCGCGGTTGATGAGCGAGTGGGCGCGGCCGGGCATCTCGGCGGCCTTTGTGGAAAAGAATTTGAACGGCCGCGTCAGCTCGTACCGGTGCCACGGCTGCGTCGTCAGCTGCGCCATGTTGGGCCCGTCCTTGAGCTTGGACCCGTAAAAGGTGGCCGAGGGGAAGACGGAAATCTCGGGGTGCATGCGGTACTGGATGCTCAGCAGGTAGACGTCGTCGGGCGAGCGCTCAAACATGCGGACAAACAGCGACTGCGAGTAGCGCAGCTGCTCGGCCTGCTGCGAGATGACGGTGGGCGGCAGCTGGTTGGGGTCGCCGACGAGGATGCACTGCTTGCAGCCGTAGCGCAGCGGGATGATGGTGCTCAGCTCGACGGCCTGGGCGGCCTCGTCGACGACGACCGTCTCAAAGTCGAAGGGCAGCGAGTTGAGCATCTCGTGGCCCGCCCCCGACAGCGTCGAGCAGATGACGTCGGCGTCGGCCAGGATCTCGGTGCGCGCCTTGCGCCGGTCGGCCTCCTGCTGCCGGTACTCGGTCTGGGCGCGGTCCTTGGCCTCGTCGAGCTTCGACATGACCGCCAGCCGCTTGGCCGCCAGGTTGCGGATCTCGGCCTGCAGCTGCGTGGCGAGCGCCGGATTGTTCTGGACGGCCGACAGCTCGGCCTGCTTGTCCTCGCGCTGCTTCTTGAGCGCGTGGATCTCGGCGTGGAGGATGCTCGGGTCGACGGGCGCCGGCTTGTCCTGGTCGCGCGCCGCCTTGTTGCTCAGCCGCTGCTCGATGAGGTGGTCGAGCGAAATGTCCTTGACCGCCACGTTGATGCCCTCCTCGCGGCCGAGGCGGACGACGCGCGGGTAGATGGTCTTGCCCTCGGCGTTGCGCATGCCCGCCTTGGCCCGCTTGGCCACCTCGTCGATGGCGGCGTTGCTCGGCGCGCACAGCAGGATCTTCTTGCACGGCCCGCCCGCCGCCGACCCGCCGCCGCCGCCGCCCGCCGAGGTGGCGGTCCCCTTGCGCGTCGAGATAAAGGCGCCGATCAGCGCGCAGATCGTCTTGGTCTTTCCCGTTCCCGGCGGGCCCTGGATCAGCGAAAATCCGGGCGTGGCGAGCGAGCCCAGAATCGCCCTCGCCTGCGGCTCATTGACCTGGTAGCCGTTCATTGCGTGCTGCACCTTTTCGGCGCTCAGGGGCGCCTTGGGCGACACCCGCGCCGCCAGCACGTTCTGAAACAGGTCAAAGTAGGCGGCCGTCATCAGCGCCGCAAACTCGCGGTGGAGCGTGGTGAGCGAAAAGAGCTTGGTGAGCTCCCACTTGGTCCTGGCCGTCAGGTTCGAGTTGATGCCCTGCTTGTCCTCGATCAGGCAGCACCGCAGCGTGACCAAGTGGCCCTGCGGGTGCCTCTTGAACGCCTGCACCTTGGCCAGCATCGTCCGCGGCCGGCGTCCGGGCGGCGGGTAGAGCTCCTTGAGCCGCACCACCTCGGTCTCGTTGAGCGAGAACGTCTTGGGGACCGCGGCGGGCACGATGGTGGCGTTGAGGTCGACAAACTGGTCGACGGTGGCGCGGCCGACGACCTCGACCGTCGTGCGGTCCGGAACGCTGTCGGCCTCCTCCCTCGCCTGCTGGAACTGGGCCCAGCACTCGAGCAGGAGCAGCGGGCCAAATACCTGGCCGTACTCGGCGGCATTGGCCAGCAGTGACGGCACCATCCGGTACGCGGGCTCCTTGCCCGCGGGCACAGGAGGGCGTTGGCCCTCGTGGTAGTAGTCCCACGCCAGGATGCTGCGGTGAAGCGCGCTATAGTCTGGCGCGCTCCGCAGCAGCCGCTTCCGCTCGGCCTCCTGCCGCTCCTGCTTGGCCCGGCTGATGGCTGGATCCTCGAGCACCTTGATCTGTCGCCTCGGCTGGGGCTGCAGCGGCATGCGCGGCCTCAGCGGCGATCGCCGCTTGCTGAGGGCCGCCAGGCCCTTCGCCTCGGCCTCTTCGTCGCTGCTGTCGTCCGACGACGACGAAGAGGCCGACGAGGCGGTCGCACCGTTTGGCTTGCCGGCGGCGGTCGTCTTGCCGCCCGCGACGCCGGTGACGGAGCTGCTCTGCAGGGTGCCGGCCTCGCCGTCCTTGACGCTCCTCGCCGGCGCGGCAGGCGGGCGGGCATTGACGTTCTGCGGACGCCACGAGCGGCTGGTGCCGAGCTCCTGTCGCAGCTGGGCCAGCTTGCCCGTACCGGCCTTGGGTACGGCGGACCGCGATGCAGAGGCGGCGCTCGATGCCTTGGTGCCGGCCTGCTGGGCCGCTCTGGCCGCGGCGCCCTTGTAGGCGTTGATCGGGGCCGCGGGTGCCTTGGGCGGCGCAGCGGCAGCCTTGGACTTTGAGCTGCTGCTGCTGCTGCTGCTGGCGGGGTGAAGTCGAAACTGAGCGCAGGCTTCGACGGCGCTTTGGCGTCGCCGCTGTAGGCGGCGTCGACGTCGATGATCTTGCTGGGCGGGACATTGGCGAAGCTGAGCTTCTGCTGCTTGAGCTTCTTCTTTTGCAGCTTCTGCTGTTGCTGCTGCTGCTGCTTCTTTTTCCGGCCCTGGCTGCTGGTGAGCGATGTGCCGTACAGGCCGGCCGAGCTCCACCAGTGGGAGCTGTCGATGATCGGCCTCGAAGACTCGCGCACCTTGTTCTTGTCCCTGCCGAGCTCGGACCCCGCAGACTCGCCGTCCGAGTCGAGGCTGCCGGCGCCGCCGCCGTCGTCGTCGCTGTCGCTGATCTCGATCGGCGGATCGACGAGCTGCTTGAGCTTGCCGAGCTCCTCGTCCGACAGCAGCGTGTGCCGCAGCTTGGGGTCGTCAATGGCCAGCTGCTGGTTGATAAAGTCGAGCAGCTTGCGCTTCGAGTCGGCCGGAAAGTCGACGGCGTCGCGCGCAAAGCGCTCGAGCGCCCGCTCAATGTAGCCGCGCGTCTCGGTGAGGATCTCCTGGTCGTTCATCCGCAGCCAGCTGATGGCGCTCTCGAGCGGCTGCGCCAGCGCCAGCGTCATGGCGTCCTCGTCCGACGAGTCGAGGTCGCGGTCGTCGGCGTCGCCGGCCGGGCTGACGAGGGGCCGGAAGACGCTGAGCGCATCGACCATCTCGGAAGCAAAGATGGTGACGTCGCGGAACCAGGCCACCATGTCCTCGCGCGCCAGCAGCGTCGACCACTGCGGCGTCTTGCGGAAGATGGACGACACGCTGCGGCACATGGCCTGCCAGAGGGCCGGCAGCTTGAGCGCCACCGACTGGCGCTTGCCGCGGTCCTCGACGAGCGAGCCGGGTGTACTCGCGCACAGCAGGCCATCGGTGCCGTCGCACAGCACCGAGAGGATGTTGGCGAAGCTCCTCACCATCCACTTGGCCAGGTCGTTGGCCTCGACCAGCTTGGTCGTCGCAGAGACAAAGGCGTGGAGGAAGTCGACCAGCCCGCGGAGCGCCTGCGACGTGTTGATCTGGAGCAGGACGCGAAAACAGTCGGCGCGCGTCTGCACGTCGGGGAACGCCTGCCGCAGCAGGTTCTGCGCCGATTTGTGCACCTCGACGTCCGGGCACAGGTTGAGCAGCAGCAGGCTGTGGACGGAGCCGACGCAGAGCGACTGCGCGTCGTCCTCGGTGGCCAGCTCGCCAAAGTCGGTCAGCTTGTCGGCCAGGCCGCCCCGCATCGTGGCGAGCGCCTTGGAGATCGAGGCGACCGACGCCTTGACGCGCGCGGCGTAGGCCTCGAAGGCGGCCCCGTGGCCGTCGGCCTCGCGCAGCAGGTGGGTCGAGGCCGAGGGGGCCATGTAGACCGAGATCGGCGCGAGCGCCTGCAGAAAGACGGCGTAGGCCTCGCCGCCGGAGTGCGTCTCGAGCGCGCTGTAGGCCTCGTGCCACAGCTCGGAGCAGATCGACAGCGAGGGGTATCCGTCGCGCATCGCCTGCTTGTAGATGTCGCCGGGCGACAGGACCTCCATGGTGGCGGCCACCTTGGGGTCCCGGCGCGCGCGCGAGTGGAGCTTGTAGACGCCCGTGTACTTGACGGTCAGCGCCGCCAGCGCCTCGGAGGCGGCGACGAGGGCCTTGGCATCGCGCTCAAACGCTTGCCGCATCAGGTCGCGGGCTGCGGCGCGGGTGTCGGCGTCGGGCGCACCCTTGCCGAGCGCCATCGAGGCGATGGTGGGCGCGTAGAGGTCGACAACGTCGCGGCTGCTGCGCTCGTCGGCATGGTTGAGGACGAGATCGACGGCCTCCTTGAGCGAGACGCTGCGGTAGGCGTTGGGGACGTGGCCCTGCTGCATGCGCTCGAACAGAAAGTTGGCGAGCCGCTTGAGCGCCTCGACGTAGTGCGGGCCCTGGATGTCCTGCTCCGCATGTCTGAGCGAGGCGAGGTGGGAGCCCATCCAGGAAAAGTAGAGGGTGCGCTGCCGGGCGTCGACGGGCGCGTCCTTGGGGTGCTGCAGCAGCGGCTGGGTGAAGAAGGGGTTGTCGAGGATGCCCGACAGGACGAGGGTGGGATACTCGTCGTCGCCGCCATCATTGCCAACGCGGCCGTGGAGGTCCTGCCAGATGGCGGGGCCCCGCTGCTTGAGCAGAGCGGTGTAGGCGCGGAGGACGTCGGGCAGGTGCGCACCGCGGTCGTGGACGTGGTTGAGGATGGCAGGCGTCAGGGCTGCCGCGGACCTGGGCAGCACGCGCAGGATCATGGGCACGGTCGACCAGTCCATGCCGTAGCCAGCATCGTTGAGCTTGGAGGCGACCGCCGCTATTGCGCGGTCAAAGACGGGGTTCTCGGCCATGGGCGTGGTGAGCGGCTTGAGGTGGATCATCTGGCGAGCGGCAAAGGCACGCGCCGTGGGGTCATCGTCGACGGCCAAGACGAGGAGGCCGGCGGGCAGCTCGGTGAGCGCGGGCAATTGCTGGGTGGTGAGGGCGGCCTTGACCTGCTGACGGAGCTGCTGTGCGCGGTCCGAGGCGACGAGGGAGAGGACAGCATAGGTTTCGGCGGGCGAGAGGGCGGCAAGGCCGGTGCCCGGGGCGATGCCCTTGCGCTTGAGGGCGTCGAGGGCGAGATCCTGCTCCCAGGCGTCGATGAGGTCGAGGAGGCCGTCGATCTTGTCCGCGGGGAAGGCGTCGAGGTAGGCGGTGCGGAGGCGGACACGGGCGCGGAGGTAACCCTGGTAGCAGGCGACGCAGCCGCCGCCGTAGATTGCGTGGGCGACCTTGCGCTGCCACGTCTCCACCTCGTCCTTTGCGCGGAAGCCAAAGCACCGGAGCATGCTACTGTGCAGCTCAAAGTCGGGCGGGCCCCCGGTGGAGCAAAAGGGGTGGACCTTCTTGCCGGCGCCGTGGTCGACGTAGAGGAGCGCCTGGGTGATGAGGTTCGCAAAGGCGTCGACGTCGGTCTGCCGTTCGCGGACGTGGTGGACGTGGTCTGCGACGGTGAAGGCGGTGGGTGCGGCGGGGCGCGACATCGAGGCCGAGGCCGAGGCCGAAGCCGACCCGGTGGCGTCCATCTGTGCTTGCTCGCTGGTCCTCGAAGTCGAGGATAGCGAGGAGAAAGAGAAGGGCGGGTGTGTCGAGGAAGGAGATCAAGCTGGATGGTGTCGATGCTGCATCGAGTCACGACCTGGCGGGAGGGAGGCGCTGGGCAAGATGCGAGACGGTGAGACAGAGATGTTAGGATGGATGCTGCTGGTGTATTTGAGCGGCTCGCTGAACATTTAGAGGAAGATACAAGGGAGGGGCTGAGAGGAGGGAATGAGCAGGTGTGCGTGCGGGTGCTTGTAAGCGGAGCCGGTCGAGGGCTGCGGAGACGACACGCAGCCAGCTAGCCAGCCAGCCAGCCAGCCAAGATAGGCGCGGGCGAGGCGGGTGGACAACGTCTGGGCGGCTGCTGCTGCGCTCAGAGGCGGAGGCGGGTGCGCAGCAGGTAGGTGCGCATGCGCAGGCGCGGCACAGACTCTGGGCCGTAGCGCGGTGGAGGTGGAGTCGTCGTCGTCGTCGTCGTCGTCGTCGTGGATCGCTGATATGGTGGTGATGGCGGTGGCGGTGGCGGTGGCGGTGGCTGTGATGAAGCAGGCTGCGGTGGCGGCCGGGGACAAAGCCGACAGGCAGCGGTTAGAGAGAAGGGATGAGGGCGAGGGCGAGGGCGAGGGCGAGGGCGAGGGCGAGGGCGAGGGCGAGGGCGAGAGCGAGGGCGAGGGCGAGGGCGAGGGCGAGGGCGAGAGCGAGAGCGAGGGCGAGGGCGAGGGCGAGAGCGAGAGCGAGGACGAGCCAGCGTGTGACGTTTGCCAGAGGGCCGGCCTGGCCGCGCCTAACCTGTTGAGTTGGCTTTGGATTTTTTCTCGAGTGAGCCTCGGGCGGTCGGGCGGGTCAGCCAGGTCGAGCCGTGGCAGGCCTGGCCTGGCCTGCCAGGCTGCGGCCTCACTCTACGCGTCACGTCGGCGGGCGTGGGCCTCTGTCCAGACCGACCAACCGTTCGGCACTCGGGGGAATCGAAAATCCAAAGCACACCTCCACACTCGGACCTCGTCCTTTGCAGCTAGGCCAGCAGCAGGCAGGCAGGCAGGCCAACAGAGGTCGACTTTTCCAGAAGGCAGCCCGGCTGGGCGACTCGTTGCTGCTCAGCCTGGCCTCGCCCCACCTCCCTCTCTCTCCTTCATCGACTGCATCAACGGCCATCACCGACCGCCAGCCATCGGCATATCCCGGTCACTCGTTGCTATCACACACTACTGCTGCTCATCCCGCCTCGTCACTCGGATCACCCGCCGCAAACATGAGCTCGACCGCCACGCCGCCGCCGCTCACCGTCGAGCAAAAGATCCAGTCCGGCCTCGATGCAAAGGCAAGGGGAAACGACGCATTCACAGGCGGCGACCCAAAGGCCGCTCTCAAGCACTACCACACATCGGTATTGGTGAGCGCTCACTTCCGGATCCATGGCACCAGGCAGATCAATGAGGCTGGCTGACCGATCCTCCCCTCTTCCTCTCTCGGGATCCCGTCACGTCACCCGCCTTGCAGTACCTCGCGGGCCTCGACCAGATGGGCCTCGCCTCCATGATGGGACACGTCACCAGCCCAGACGGCGGCGACGTCTCCCCCGTCGAGGAGGGTGACAAGCCAGACGTTCCTCCGCACAAGAAGCACCTCAGCCAGACCTACAGCAACGTGAGCAGCATCCGCAGCCACCCCAGCACCAGCCAGCAGTATTGCCCCGTCCACCCTCGCTCACCACCCCTGCCACCACTACTCATCCTCGACTCCGGCAACGCACAGATGGCGGCGTGCCACATCAAGCTGCAGAACTACCCTCGCGCCCTCGACGCCGCAGACCGCGCCGCAAAGGCCGATCCGACCAACATCAAGGCGCAGTGAGTAGCGCATCGGCACCGCCCACCGCTTGCCCTGGTCGCCGCGCGCACTGTACTGACCCCCGCCATTTTTCCCTGCCTCCCTCTCTCCCCCTCTGATTGCAGCTTCCGCAAGGCCCAGGCGCTGCGGCTCGGCGGCAGCCTGCAGCAGGCCATCGACCTACTCAAGAGCGTCATCCAGCAGCACCCGCAGGCAAAGGAGAGCCTCTCTGCCGAGCTGGCCCTGTGCGAAAAGACGCTACAGGCAAAAGAGGCCCAGAGCCGCAACCGTTGGAAGGGCTTCCTCGGAAAGAAGCCCGACGTGCTCTCGGCCAGCGCCGGCGAGGGCGAGGGAGAGGGCGAGGCCAAGAAGCTGGACAAGGGCAAGGCAAAGGCCACGTAGGAGCAGGGCAGCCAGCCTCGTAACAGACGGACGTACCGGGGACACGCCTGCGTGATCCGAGCCGCCGTTCCCGGTTCGGCCGAAACCAAAAGCAGGGAGGGTCGGTCTCTCCCTCTTCTAGCACTGATCTGGCAAAGTCGTAATGGGAACCTCGACATCATGCATGTCATCGCGGCGCAGTGAAGCAGCCAGTGTGTGAAGTTATGGGACCGTGGCGAGGGCATGCCATCGAGTGAAGGAGAGCCGGCTGTTCGAACGTCGACTGGAAGGCGATGGCGGAAACGGCGCAGTGGATTTCTTGGAGCTGGCCAGACTGGCGCTGGCGGCGCGCACGGACGCCCTCGTGGCGGAGGCGACTTGCCGGGCAGGTCGGCCAGGGCCAGCAGAAGGGTCGAGCCCCGACCCTGAGGTGGAAATCGGCAGGACCCATCTTCCACCACGACCACCACCACCGTCACACGCATTTGCCGTCACCTCGAAGCCACGGTATCACGATGCCACGTCTCGAAACACGCGCACAACCAAGCCGCACCAGCAGTCGCAGTCGCAGCAGCGGACGGAGCGGCGGCAGCGCGATACGTCCCCCATCGGGCGGAGGGTACTTGGGCGAGGTAGTGGAGCTCGTCACGCCGTCGTCTTCGGCATCGGGACGACGGTGGGAGCACCTCAAGTCCCTCGCGCTGCGCTCGGTGCGCATCAAGCTCGCCAGCGAGACGGGCGGGTTGGACGGCCAGCCCGTCGTCCCGCTCCGTGTCCGCCCGGCGTTTATCGTCCTCAACGTGCTGGATCTCGTCTTTCTGGGATTGCTCGGGTGAGTTCGGGCGGTCGCGCTTCATCGGTTGCTTCGAGGGCGCGCAGACGCAGAGAGCTGGGATGCTGATGGACTGTGATGCTTGAGACGCACAGGTTCCATCCCAACGGCCAGGCATGGACGAGGCTCAACGACAAGGTGCTCCATTTCATCTGCTTCTTCTTCGTACGTCCCTCCCCGCTATCCCCTTCGCCTCGATTCTCCGCGCCGTGCACAGACAGCATAGACTGACCCGATCGAGCCGACTCTGGATCTCCCTCATCTCTCCACACCCTCTCGCCAGGCCACGTCGCTCTTCTACATGGTCTGGGACGTCGACGAGGTGCGTCTCCGAATCTCTTCATTGATGCGCCGTCCACCGCTGTCCCTCGTACTGACCGCCCCTCGTCTCCCTCTTCTACCCACGGCCAGTCCGCAAGGAGGGTATGGATATGGCGCAACGCCGCGCTGCTCCTCACCTTCCTAACCTGCTTCGCATGCGGCTCCATCGGCTCCGAAATCGTCCAGAGCCTTCTCCCCGTACGTCCCTCCCTTCCCCCTTCCTCTCTTCCCCTCTTCCTCCCTGACATGCCACTCCCAATCCCCCAATCGCTGACCCATGTTCCATTTCCTACTTTCGTCCAACCCCCTCCGACCGGCGGGCAGTACAAGCGCTTCGACATCTACGACGTACTGTGCAACATGGTCGGGTCATCGCTCGGCCTGTTTTTCACGTACCACCTCGAACTGCGCTACCGGGCGCGCCGAGAGGTCGAGAGGCTGTACGATCCGCTCGACGTGGAAGAGTACGGCGATGGATTCGCCAGCGATGACGATGACGATGTCGTCGTCGACGTTGTCGATGTCGATGTCGATGTCGATCAGCGTCATGGTGGAGGGGGAATGGGGTTGGAGGCGCAGGGCGAGGGCGGGGGCGGGAGGAGGGTGCGGTTCGATCCGAACCCCACTGTTTCGTCATCCCTCCCGCCTCCTTCGCACGGTAGCACCGCCTCTGCCCTCTCACCGACGACGATGACGACGACGACGACGACAAAGGGGATGGAGGGTCCACACGTATCGACGGGCAAGACTTCGGAGCAACTCTTTAGCATCGACGATGACGACGACGACGACGACGAGGGAGAGGGAGAGGGAGAGGGGGGTAAAGACGGCGACAACGTATGGAGCGATGCCGGTGATCCGCTACGGTCCTGATGCCATCCCCGTGGGCACGCAATCCACTACGACCTTCAATTCCTCGATTCCCAGACGTGAGCGAGAGTCAGGCGACGTAGAGAGGGACATGCAGATTGTTCATTCGCACCGCACCGCACCCTACCCGGCCTGTGAGGATCGAAGAGGAGGGCCTTGTAGCGGTAGCGGTAGCGCGAATAGGATCGGGCGGAAGAGGACAGGCTTGTCGTCGAGGAGGAGACCCGACCCGTCGCATCGCCCCGGCAGCGACGGCGACAGTGGCAGTGGCAGTGGCAGTGGCAAGGCGAAGGGCATCTCAGGACGACAGAGGTATAGTTGGAAGTCGGCAAAGCAGAGCGGAACGGAACGGCAAGAGGGCCAAGCGAGGGAAGGGGGGAGGGGGGGGGGGGGGGGGGCCAAGGAAAGCGAACGAGCAGCGATAAGCCAACGGCCAAGGGCGGCGGCTCAACCGTTGAGGACCTTCATGAAGAGCTGCTGGGTGGGGAGCATGGTGGGCGGGCGGTACTTGAGCCACATCATGGGCATCTTGGCGCCGTCAAACTGGAAGAGCTGCAGCGCGTAGTTGGACGTCTGGTCCGACGGGAAGCCGAGGTGGCCGTCGAGGTAGTTGTACCACTGCGGGATCAGCTCCCATCTGCAGCAGGGCAGAATAGGGGCGAGGGTCGCCGTCGATGTCAGCTCGGCTGGAATGCGGCCAAAGCGTAGGCACTGCGCGTGCGTGTGTGTGCGTGCGGCCACACTCACTCGTCGTAGTTGTAGATCTGCTGTGTCTTGGCCGCGCAGGGATCGAGCACCTGGATGTAGCCGTCCGGCCCGAATGGCTGCAGCGTGAGGGACCCGTTGGCGTGGAGCGTGTACCTGCCGTGCTGCCAGATGAGCGATGCCTTGAAGCATCGATTCCTCTTGGCTGTAGGGGGCGTCGCAGAGAGTGAGGGGTTGGATGGAAGCGGGAGGGGATGGGGACATCGATGAACGACTGGCCAAGGATGGCGCACGCCGCACGCCACGCAGCCGACTCACGATTCGACTCGAAGCGATACTTGGACTGCTCAAAGAAGCCGTCGTCGGTGAAGCTGTACGAGATGCCCGAGTTTTTGGGCAGCTTAAACTGCTGCGAGATCGGGTTGAAGAATTCCTGTGGGTGCGGAGAGTGAGGTCGAGCAGGGCAGATGTGGTCCGCAGGGTGGATGCGGTTGCGGCGTCAGCGATCCGTGAGCCGTACGGTTGGACGGCACTGCTGGCGGGCGGGCCGGACGGACGATGCGTCTGCCACTTACGAGACCGGTTTCGACGGCCATGGAGCCGCTGGACCATGTGCCTGCGAGGGAGGTGACGTTGGTGAGGCCGCCGTCTGTGCTTGAGCCTGCCGCCGTGGTGCCTGTCGATGCGCCCGGGTTGGGTGAGCCCGTGTCGGATGCTGCGGTGCCGTCTGCTGTTGCGGCGGTCGGATCCCCCGCGGTTGGGTCGTTTACAACGGGGATGCCGCCCTGAGCTCGCACCGTGGCTGCCAGGCAGGCGATGATGGCGGCTGCAGCGAGCAGAAGGGGCAGTCTTGGCCCGATCATGGTGGATGGGGGCTATAGGCGCGCCAAAGCTGGCCGGCGGCGGGTGGTGGACTTTCGAGGGCAGGGGCTCGCGTGCACGGACGTTGGCGGGAAGGGCAGAGCGGGCCGGGCGGTAGCAAGGTGACGCGGAGGATGGCAGGCGGTGCGAGAGGCGAGCGCTGCAAGAAGTGCCAATGGCGGTGGTGTTGGTGGTGATACGGGTGGTGATAGCTGGGTGGCGGTGGTGGACGCTGGTGGTGATGCGAAAAGGGCCAAACCGCCGACTGGCCGACTGGATCTCGATCGGTCGATCTGCCCTGGCTGCCAGCCGCTCGGCCAAGAGGATTGGGCGGCTGGTGGGGTGCGGAGGGGAGGGGGCGTCGAGGTGGGGTCAAGCGAGCCGGGCGCGACAGAGGTGCACGACGTCGCAGCAGCTGACAGCCGGCGGCCTGGCCTAGCCTGCCTGCCCTGCCTCTTTGGCCCTGCTCGCCTCGACGCCGCTCTCTAAATTTGGGCCCGCCTCAGCCCAGCCACCGAGCGGGCCAGGCCTCGTTTCGGGCCATCCCCGGCCTGGCTCAAGGCGAGCACCCACGCACACCAGACACGACCGCCGAGGGGGCGGCCTGCAGTATGGTCGCCGGTAGCCATTTGGCTCTGCAACAAAGAGACGACGACGATGCCGATGCCATGGGCGGGCGGATGCGTGGCCAGCGCTGGCAGCATCGCATCGTCCATCGTCCGCCGTCGTCGTCATCCGCCTGCTGCCTCTCTGTCGGCCTTCGCATAAACTCTCGACGACGAGAGGCAAATTGTCCGAGCCCTTACCTGGCCGGCCTGCCGGCCTGCCTGCCTGCCTGCCCGCCTGCTGCCCTGCCTCGTGCTGGATGCAGGCAGGGGCCAGCCAGCAGGCAAGCCACGGATCGGCGAGGCCTGCCAGCGGGTTTTTCGAAATTCACCGCGGGCGGCGGGCCTGCTGCTGCTGCCGCTGCCTGGGAAAAAAGGGGCGAGCAGGCCAGAGGGGCGGGCTGCAAATCGTCGTCGCGTGGCAGCCAGGCGGGCCAGCCGTAGGCCAGGTCACCGCCAGCCTCTCTCCGTCCGCCCGTCGTCGCCAGCTAGCAGCGGCCAGCCGAGCAGCGGTCAGCCGCGCAGCGGAAACGTGGCGAAGGAGCAGATCGAGATAAGAGTCTAGTGAGAGGAAGGCAACGGACGGGTAGCAGGTTGCGGCGAGTTTGAGCATCGATCGCATGGCAGCGCGACGACGATGGCGACGACGGCAACGACGACGACAAGACGCCGACGGTCCAGCTTGCCCGGCCGGCCCGGGCATGGCAGCGCCAAAGAGAGCCAAGGCCACCCGCGTAGAGCAGAGAGGAGGCAGGTGTCGATGTGGGTTGGCAAACGGGGGAGGGGGCGAGGAGCAAGACGTGACAACCGATGCGGCATCTTGGCTGGCCCTGGCCGCCGAACGATCCTCCCTCTTGCTCCAAGCCGGATTCGATACACCCGACCCAGGGCCTCACCGGATCGGATCGCACAAGCCGTGCCCCGATGACCATACATGTCGGCCCGCCTCCGCGGCGCAGCAAGTCCTCGCCGTCTGTCCGAGATGCTGCAGCACCTGGCTTCCATCTTGGCCCGGCTCGGGACGGGCTTAGCATGCTTGCCACTCCGCACGTCGCTCGCCGGTCGTCGGTCGTCGCTTCGCATCGTGAGCACCCAGCTATCCGTCCGCGTCTGCTCCTCGTTCCCTTGCGCTTTCCACGGCCCTCACGCAGACAGACTGGAGAATCAGGAGCAGCCGAGTTCATTCAATGAGATCCGGAGACAAAGTGTAGCAGCAGGCTTCCACCCGCAGTTCCTCAGCCTCGCAGACCAGAGTCTAGGCATCTAGAGCCTGTCGCGGCTGTACTGCTTGTCGAACTTTTGCTAAGGGTCGGGACGGAGCGATTGAGGCGCGAGGGGGCAAGGCAAAGAGGAAGTCAGACTGGGCTGCTCGGATCGATCGGCAGCTGGCGTCGGAGCTGCAGGCCGACTCACGTTGACAGTCATGAGCTTGGTCTGGGTGCCGGGCTCAACGTTGTTCCACGGGGTCGGGTTGTTCTTGCGGTCCCAGATGACATCGGGGCCGCGAGCCAGGCGCGTGAGGTACCTGGGGCGGGAGCGCGAAGTTCGAACAGAGCCGGGCAGGACGGGTCAGCACGCGCTGCGAGGACGCCGCCAGATCATGAACGCGTTTGCGCGACAAGTGATGCCTGCGGCGCAACACCAAACCGTCTGTTGCGGACCAGCTGCGTGGCGAGGCATCGGAGTTGATGGGCAGGAGCGATACTCACCAGGTGGCACCGCCGGCAGCGAGACCAGTGATGATGTAGATCGGAATGACCTCAGGCGAGTACCTGGGAGACGTGCGAAGAAAAGGACAGAGAGCGGGAGGGTCAGTGGGACAGCTCCACACGGTGTGGCAAAGATCCGGAAGACCTTCCCGACGACCGAGTCGACCACCACGGCCTGGCCGCCAGCTGCGCTCGCTCTCGCCAGTCGCCAGTCGCCAGCATCAGATGCTCAAGCCAGACGATGACGACGACGACGACGACGACGGGAGCGCGCCGAGAGAATGCAGATTGACTCGAGGCAAATCTCAGGAGCCTCGGGGCTGCTAGCCAATGCCGGGATCGCTGCAGAGCGGCTGCGCCCTCGGATCGACGCATCCATGTCGACATGATTGCAGCAAGGTCGTGCCGCCTGCGCTGCCGTAGAGCTCCGAGACGATGCGCTGGGCCGATGACGAGGTCCGAGGACGCAGAGGCGGCTTCGCTAGCTGCGTGCGTGCCCGTTCGTCGCATGTTGCTTTCCTGCGGCGCGGGGATGGCAGGTGTGTGGCAAAGGGACGCTTACCAGTTCTTCATGAAGAGCTGGCGAGCCTTGTTCTTGATGGCTTGTCCGGCGACCATCTTTGCAGCTTCTACGATGAAAGGTGCGGGTGTTGGAACGAGGGGAACGTGGTGGTGGTGGTGGTGGTGGTGACGACGAACCTGGGGCTGCGGGGATCTCAAGCTGTGTTTCCGCCACGACGGCCCTCGACCGCACCGGACGACCCTGGGCGTGGCGGGCAAGGCCAGAGCCGGGAAGTCCAGGCGACGGGGGTGAGGGAGCGAATTCAACAAAGAGGGCCGGGTTTGCACGGCTTGCCCGCGATTTTGAAGTGCCCGCCTCGGGGCCGCCAGGCCAGGAGAAAGCGCCCGCGACCCTCGATTTGAAACCGGCGCGATTCAAAACGGGGCGCCAACGCCGCTGGCGAGTTGGAGGGTGCCTTGGCCGCGACGCTTTTCCCGGACGAGAGACCAGCAGGCGACTCGACTCGACCCGACCCGACGTCAACTCGGGAGACGGAGATTGAACCGTCATAGGCCGAGCGGCTTCGCTGCTCTTGAGCTTCCACGAGCGATGGCAGGCCCGCCAAGCCCAAGCAAGGTTGGGCCTGGCTGGCCTGGCCCCGCACCCGCTGTGTGGAAGGCCGTCCTTCTGGCAGACGCCCGCCCGTTCTGGAGCCGAGCGACGCCGAGCGGCAGCCAGCCCAACCGGGCCCCGTCCAGCCCTGTCCTGCCCTGCGCTGCCAGGCCCACCAAGCAAGGCTAGCTGCCTCTTCGACGTGCGTGCGTGTGACGGGTGCGAGAAGAGCAGGCAGGCCTCCGCCGGGACCCGAGAGGCTCAAGCAAGCAGCAGCACAGCTCCCCGTACCTGGCTCACCGACCGCTCCTCGTTCGGGCCGAGGGCACGACGACCACAGGCAGCCGTGCGAGCGTGTCGTCGCTGCTGTGTCAGGAGAGAAGAAGCATGCACGCACGCAGACAGCGCAGCGAGAGGGGCAGGCAGGCAAGCGGGCGGGCGGGCTGGCCAGGCCGGGTGGCGAGGGCCGCGAGCGAGGAAGCGGGCAGATCGATGCACCGTGCGCTGACGTCTTGCTTCCACCGTGCGTTGCCCGCCTGCCCGCCTGCCCGCCTGCCAGCCTGACCAGCCTGACCAGCTGGTGCCCGCCGACCGAGCATATTGACGCAAGCCACCCCTCTCGCCATCGTCGACCTCTGCTCTCGACGTCGAGCCCGCCTGCGCAGCTTCCTGCGCGCACACCCCTCACGCCGTCCGCTCGCGAACACAGCCTCATCCTTGCTGTCTCTCTCTCACGCCCTCGTCGACTGTTGGGGACTGCTCGTTGCCTACTCCAGACCTCGACCTCCTCTCTCCTCTCCAACCTCCTTCAGCTGCTCATCGTATTCGCCCTAGCCATCGTTTTCGCCATCCTCTTCGCCTGCATTTCGTGGCAGCAGCAGCAGCGCTCTTTCCTTCTCCAACGCTCCGACGATCACGCATTCTATATACCCTGTCCCCGCATCGCATTCCGCTCTACGCCTTCTCCTCGCATCATCGCCTCAGCCGCCGTCACCGCCCAAAGCATCGCCTAGCCACTGCATCGACGGCGTGCTGCGCTCCGTGTCGACCAGCATGCCCGCTCCTACCCAAGACGAGGCCGGCGGCTCGCAGCCGATGTGCCGGCTCAGGGTGCAGATCCTCTCGGCCCGGGGCCTGGCGGCAAAGGACCGCAACGGCAAGTCCGATCCCTTTGTCGTCGTCAGCCTTCCCGGCACCGCCGAAAGCTCCCACCAGACCGCCGTCAAGCCAAAGACGCTCGACCCCGTGTGGAAGGACAGGGAGGCCACCTTTGAGTACGACGTCGTCCCGGAATGGTTCGGCCCGCACCTCGATACGGTCGCCGTCGACGGCGTCGACCCCGACGTTGTCCAGGCCATCCTGGCCGACGCCGTGACGCCCGCATCGTCCGCTGCCGCACAGGGCGCCGCCCCGATTGCCAAGGGCGCAAGGCCCAGGTCGATGCTCTCCTCGGCATCGGCCCGCAAGATCGGCGGAGCGGCGACCAAGATCCTGTCTGCGCCCGTCAAGTTCGGAGCGGCCGGTGCCAAGGCCGTCGGCCGCGGCGTCCCCCGGCCCATGAAGCTCCGCCGCAGGCTGAGCGGGCTCTCGACGCCGTCCCGAGCCGGCAGCGGCCAGGGCGCAGAGGCGCTCGTGGCGGCCGCCACCATGCTCGCAGGCAAGCCACCGCGCGGCTCGATCCAACTTGACGAGGCCAACGCCACCGTCAGCTCCCTCGAGTTTGTGCTGTGGGACAAGGACCGCTTCTCGGGCGACGACTACCTGGGCGAGTGCTCGCTCCTGGTGCGCGAGTGGTGCCCCAACGGCGAGGCCGACTGGGACAAGGTCAGCCCGATCTGGCTACCCGTCGCATCTTCGCGCCCGGACTCTGAAGCCACTGGCGAGGTCCAGGTCAAGATCGGCTTCCTCGAGGTTACGAAGCAGGCTCGTCCCGCCGCCGCCGGCAGCGCGAGCTCTTCGTCGTCGTCGGATCCGTACACCTGGTCGACAAAGGAAATTTACCAGCGGCTCGCGCTGGCTTCGCTCGGCAGCGAGGCCTCGGCGGTCCGCGCCGTTCCCGCCTCTCAGTCTGTCGGCACCGCCGGCCCAACCGACGACTTCCTCGACGATGGCCTCAGCAGCGACACTGACGACGATGACGACGATGACGATGAAGACGACGACGACGGCTCGACGAGCGTGTCCGGCTCCGAGGGCGATGACGACGACGAAGATGGCACCTCGCTCTCGGACACCGACGACGAGGCCATGTACAACGAGCACTACTCGTCAATCGCGGGCGTCCCGGACGGTGCTGGCGCGACGACGCCGTCGTCGGAGCAAGCCGCTGCGGCAGCTGCTGCTGTGCCGCCACCGCAGCAGGGCGGCCGCTATCGCCGCATCTTTTCGCGGCGCAAGACGGGCGAGCTGTCAAAGGCCTCGTCGGGCGCATCAACCCCGAGCCTGTCCGGATCCGGGGCGCCCAGCTCGATGACGACGCCCGCCGGCGAAGGGGCGGTCGAAGGTGGTCTGACGGGCGACAGCGGCGAGAAGCGCCGCCGCAAGATCCGGGGCGTCAAGGGTGTCAAGGGCGTCGGGCGGAGGAGGCGCAAGACGAGCCAGAACCTCTCGACCGCCGCCGACGCTGGCGAGGCCAAGGGCCGCCGGAAGCGAAGGCGGGCCCGCGACGACCGCAAGAAGCGCGACTACTCGTTCAAGGCCGAGATGGGCATGGACATCATCGGCATCGTCATGATGGAGGTCAAGAAGGCGTCGGACTTGCCGAGGTGGAAGAACAGTGAGTCCGAGGGAGCGGCATGGCGCGGCTGGAGTCGCCGGGAGACTGCCCCCTGCTCACCTTCCCTGCCGTTGCTGCTCCTTCCCTGCCGTTGCTGCTCCTTCCCTGCCGTTGCTCCTCCTTCCCTTCCACCCCACCCCGCCTGCCCGTGCAGTGACCCACACGTCGTTCGACATGGACCCGTTCACCATCGTCAGCTTTGGCCAGAAGGTGTTCCGCACCAAGGTGGCACGGCACACCCTCAACCCGGTGTGGAACGAGAAGCTCCTCTTCCACGTCCGCCGCCACGAGACCAACTTCCAGACAAAGTTCCAGATTTATGACTGGGACAAGATGTCGTCCAACGACTACGTCGGCGGCGCGTCGATCGACGTGGCCGAGCTGATTGAGCTGGCGCCCAAGCCGAATCCGGCCACGGGCCTCTACGATGCCGGCGAGGACGGCCTGCACAGCATGAAGGAGTTCCACCTGCCGCTGACCCGGCTGGAGAGGGACGAGGACGTCAAGTTCAAGGGCACCAAGAAGAACCCTAGCCTGCTGGTCGAGGCCAAGTTCACGCCGTACGACGCGCTGCGCCAGCGCTTCTGGCGCCAGCTGGCGCTGCAGTACGACACCAACGACAGCAACACGCTGTCGCTGCTCGAGCTGACGAGCATGCTCGACAGCCTCGGCAGCACGCTGACGACGGCGACCGTCGAGGGCTTTTTCCACGCCAACGGCAAGAGCCCCGACGACGACGAGCTGACGTTTGACGAGGTCATCCGCGCGCTCGAGGACGAGATCCGCAAGCCGTGGGTCCAGAAGCGGCGCATCGCCGAGGGCGGCCTCGAGAGCGGCGCCCAGACGCCCGGGTCGCTCGGCTACGTCGCCAACATCGGCGCAGAAAACAACCGCGACCTCGACATGACCGGAGCCAACGCCGCCGTCGCCGGCGGAAACGAGACGGTGGAGCGCGACGGCTACTTTACCAAGGCCGACAGCGAGGTTCGGGCTCCCGTACCTCCTAGCGCACAGTCGGCCGTCGTCGGCCTCGCGTCGGAGCCCACCAGCAAGCCGATCCCGGACCTGGCGCCCCCTCGCAGCAGCGATCAGCAAAGCGGCGGTGCCGGACAGATCCAGCGCGACATGTCGGGCCTTTCGCTGACATCTCAGACGTCGTCGGCGTCGTCGTCGTCGGCGTCGGCGGCGCCTGCAGGGGTGCGCCTGACCAAGCCGCGCCCGGCGTCATCGTCGTCGAGCTCGGACCCGGCGACGCCGTCTCCGCCGGCGCTCAAGGTCGAGGGCACCCCCGTCAACGACGACGACGCGAGCTCGTCGGTCGAGCGCGTGATCCGCCTCAAGTCGTGTCCGCTGTGCCACATGCCGCGGCTATCGAAGAAGGGCGAGGTCGACATTGTCACGCACCTGGCCGTGTGCGCGTCGCAGGACTGGCGCCGCGTCGACAGCCTGGCCGTGACCAACTTTGTCACTGCCAACCAGGCTCACCGCAAGTGGTACACCAAGGTGGTCAACAAGATCAGCCAGGGCAACTACTCGCTCGGCGCCAACAGCGCCAACATCATTGTCCAGGACCGCCAGAGCGGCGAGCTGATGGAGGAAAAGATGCAGGTCTACGTGCGGCTGGGCATCCGCCTGCTGTACAAGGGCGCGCGGTCGCGCATGGAGGGCGCGCGGATCAAGAAGATGCTGAAGAACATGAGCGTCAAGCAGGGCATCAAGTTTGACAGCCCCAGCAGCGCGCGCGAGATTGCGCCCTTCATCGCCTTCCACAACCTCGACCTCGACGAGGTGCGCGACCCCCTGGACAGCTTCAAGACGTTCAACGAGTTCTTCTACCGCAAGCTCAAGCCCGACGCCCGGCCCAACTCGGAGCCCGGCAACGCGCGCCGGCTCGTCAGCGGCGCAGACTGCCGCATGATGGCGTTTGAGAGCGTCCAGGAGGCGACGCGCATCTGGATCAAGGGGCGCGATTTCACCGTGGGCCGGCTGCTCGGCGATGCCGCCAAGGACGAGCCGCGACTCGACGCCTACCAGAACGGCGGCTCGGTGGCCATCTTCCGCCTGGCGCCGCAGGACTACCACCGCTTCCACTGCCCCGCCGACGCCACCGTGGGCAAGGTGACGTGGATCGAGGGCCAGTACTACACCGTCAACCCCATGGCCATCCGCTCGGCCATCGACGTCTACGGCGAAAACGTGCGCGCCGTCGTCCCGCTCCACTCGGCCGAGTTCGGCACCATCTACGCCGTCTGCATCGGCGCCATGATGGTCGGCAGCACGGTGCTCACCGTCAGCGAGGGCGACCGCGTCCAGCGCGGCCAGGAGTTTGGCTACTTCAAGTTTGGCGGGTCGACGATTGTCCTCGTCTTTGAGAGCGGCCGCATGGTCTTCGACGACGACATCCTCGACAATTCGCGCGCCGCCATCGAGACCCTCGTCCGCGTCGGGATGGGCATCGGCCGCGCCGTCGACGAGCGGAGCAGCCCTGGACCTTGACCCCGGGGGCGCTAGGGGGCAGAGAAAGGGTCGCCGTCCGTCGTCGACCTCGGCGGCAGGCAATGTTGTTCCGGCATAGCGTCCCGTGCGTCCGTCCGTCCATATATCCCCAGGCCCATCGCCATCGCACCCTTTTGTCTTCAGTCATTCTCTTTTCGGAACACTTGATAGCAAGCGACGCTCTTCCCTTTCTTGTCGGACGAGGCAAAGCAGGGCAGAGGGCTGCATCGAAGAAGGCCAGGTGCGAAGTTGGCTTCCTTGGAAGAGCTTTGCTTCGGGCGGCCAAGCTCAGAAACCTGTCGAGGCCGCGACGCGAGGGCAGGGCAGAGGGCGATGGATCAGCGATGCGCTGCCGTCGTGGGCGGCTTCGCAGGCCCGAGCAGGACCAGGGGGAGGAGGTCGACTCACAGCAATCGCAGTCGAACGGACACAGCGGCGTGTCTGTTGTGGCGGATGGCGTGGTGGAGGGAGGATCCGAAAGTGAGGGTTAGAGGTGGTCTGCCAGCCAATCTTGGGCCCAAGTGCTGGGTCGAGGCGCAACGCAGCGCAGTGCGACGGCGACGGCAGCGGCAACGGCAACGTACCTCCGCCTTGACCGATCCGGAGTTCGGCCTCGGAGTAGATGGGCAGACCATCGTCTGTCCTCTTCCCTGTCGTGTCGATGCGGCAAGGCAAGTGAAGAAGGGAGAGTGTCAGCGACGCCCAAGCACGAGCTGAGACGGGAGCGAGTGGGGGTGGAACGTACGACTGGATCCTCTGGAATCCATAAACTCCTCGAGCTCCTTCTGCTGCTCCGCATCATATCCCTCTATCCCCTCTGCCGCACCGCCCTTTCGCTTCTTCTTGCTTCCCTTGGTCGACGTCGCACCGCTACCGCTGGTGGTGGAATCGACGACGACGGCGGCGGACGGATCGTGGAGAACCTGTACCTGCACCTGCTTTGCCCTTTTGTCCTTCTTCGACTTCTTCACCGCCGTGACCCCTGATCCAGTCGCGGTCGCAGTCTCAGAGATGAGGTCGACGCTGCTACTGCTGCTGGGTTGTTTCCGTTTCTTGCTCGACGACGCCAGAGGGACGTCGAGGCTGGACGAGGACGGTGCCAGGTCCTTTTTCCCGTCCCCCCTTTTCTTCTTCTTCGATGGGGCCGAGGACGACGACGAAGAGGTGGATGGACCGACGCCGGTGGTGGATGACGAGGATGGGACCTTGCCCGAGAATATGTCGTCGATCTCTGATGGCATCCTGTTCTTCAACGGGGCCGGGGGAGTACAGGGTGGAGAGAGCGAGGTGGCGGTGACGGTCAGATGGATCGATCCTCACAAGGCCCTCGCGGCGAGCCCCATCCATGTGGAGCGGGCGAGGGCGAGTGCCCCGGGGAAGAAAAAAAAAGTCGCGGGCCGCCCGCCAAATCTCGGTTCGCGGACCTCGGCCCCCCGCTCAGCCCTGGCACCAGGCTGCACCACCACCGGCGACGACCGGCGCGAGGCTCGCGGTCGGCAGTAGGTATCGACGCTTTTGGGATTTCAGCACGACCACGGCGCAGCGTTCCGATTAGTTATACAGCAGCGATAACGTAGAGAGAGAAGGTGACGAGCAGGGGGAAGGCCAAGGGGGGAATAGGCGGAGCGAGAGGAGGGGGAGAGGTACGACACTGGAAGAAAGAGGGTATGCTATGCTGTGGCGAGGCAAGGATCGATGGGGACAGAGAAGGAGGAATGATGCAGGCCGCAGTGACGCCACCGGGCCGTCGCAACTCCGGCTCAGGACCGGCTCAGGCGCGGGTAGTGGCTCTTGATGTCCTGCGAGTAGGGATGGTCGCCGATGGGCGACACGACGCCGCCGTCGCTGCGGGCGTCGACGGGCGACTGCTGCGCGGCCGCGGGCCGGGTGGGCGAAAAGGCCGTGTTGCCGACGAGGTAGTCGGGCATGGGCTCCGAGGTGACGACCTGGCTCTCGGTGATGGCGACGAAGCCGCCGCCGCCGCCGCCGGCCTTGTTGCTGCGGAGCGTCTGTGCCTCGAGGTCCTCGGCCGAGTCGGCGGCGTCCATCGACTTGCCGCCCGCCGGCGAGGCGGAGCGCTCGTGGTGGCGCCCGCCGTACCGCAGCGGCTTGACGTTGAAGCCTCCCGCCGTGTTGCTGCGCAACGTGTAGCTGTTGTGCTGCGCCGAGGCCGATGCCGTACCGCTGCCGATGCCGGAGTTGCCGCCGCCGCTGCGCTTGAAGAGGCGTGCGATCTTCTCGCCCGTGCTCGACGAGCTGACCTGGGTCGACGTGACGCCGCCGGGACGGTGCTGAGCCTCCCTGGCCAGCTCGACGTAGAGGCGGGTGGAGCACATGACGCACACCGTCGAGGCCGGGATGGCGCCGATGAGGCTCATGACCGGGTTGAGCTGGGCGAGGGTGAGGCCCGTGACGAGGGCGTTGATGAGGAAGGTGGCGACAAAGTAGAGGATGCCCTGCTGGATCAGCACCGAGCCGATGTGCGAGCTGCCGTTCATGCGCAGCACGCCGACGACGGTGAGGAGCATGACGCAGAGGTCAAAGACGATGGTGACAATGTACTTGATCGAGTAGCGCGTCGAGATCGAGACAAAAGCGCACGTCCCGTCCTGCCACGGGTTGCCGCCGTTTGGCACCCAGGCCGCCACGCCGTCCGGCACGCCGACCATCCAGGCGGCGAGGAGGCCGAGGGTGAAGACGAAGAGAAAGGCCGATACGACGGTGCGCTCCCGGCCCGTGTAGACGCAGACGGCGCGGCAGGCGAGAAGGACGCTCGACGCCACCGTGATCCAGCCCATCTGCATCTCGATGGCCTGAAGGACGCCGTTGCAGCTGAACTCGTGGAGGGCCAGGACAAAGTAGAGGTTGGTGACGATGTAGGCCCAGTAGCACAGCTTGAGGAAGATGTAGGGGATCTGGGGCCACCTCCGCGCGCGCTTGCCCGTGATGATGGACCAGTCAAACGAGGCAAAGCGCGCCGTGTCGGCGAGCATCAGGCCGATGCAGATGTACATGAGCGCCGTGGCCGCCGAAAAGGCTTGGCCAAGCGTCACGGGCGACTTCCAGTCGGGCATGCTGGCGGATCGAGTGTGGGGGAGACGGTTATGGGCCAGCGAAGTGCCGGTCAGGAGGGGCTAGGGGCAGGGAGGAGCGAGAGAGGTGGGGGATGGGCGGGGTGCTGCGTTTGACCAAGACGTAGGGAGGGAGTAGGGGAAAGGGTGACGGGCCTCTGCGGCGGGCTGTCAAGGCAAGTCTGGCTATATACCATCGCCCCGTCCGCCGCTGGCACAATGGCCGAGCCGACGGATGAGAAAACGGGCTGCTCTGTCGGAGTGCCCCCGGCGGATCTGCGACCATGTCTTCGGAGGCAGCCAGCTCGAGGGACGAGAGAGAAGAAAGGACGATGAGGCACGGGTGGAGTGCCAGGCAGGGCGAGGTGTGCAAGCGGGCGCCAGATTCGTGGCTTCTCCCTTCTTGGCCGCTTGCGTAGGGTATGTCGACCTGTCAGGCACGACGGTTGCCGACCCACCCTCAGCGGGGGGTGGCAACTCACCTCTCCCTCCTTCGGGCCTCTGCTCCGTGTCTGTCCGTGCCCGACACATGGGGCCACCCCTCGCCACCTCCCTCGACCTTCCGCCCTTTGACTCAAACACCGGAGCTCCTTGCCTCGAATCTCTCTCGCCAAGAAGAGTCCTAGGGCCTCACGTCCAGAGTTGTCGGTCGCGACCGTGCGCAGCACCTTCTTTCGGCCTTTGAGATCCAACCCCTTGCTGCGGCTCCCCCCGTGTGTCTCCTCCTGCTCGGCCCTCGGCATGGAGCCGGACCGCAGCAGAGATCCAGCTACAGTAGTCGCAGGTGGCACAGTTGCGCGACCGGTGGGCATCCTTGGACCAAAGTGGACCGCATCACCGTCATCATCATCAGCGCCTTGTTCCGAGCCGGCGTCGCGTGCTGGCCATTAGCAGAGGTTTTCGGGCAGAGGGTCAGCCTCGATGCACGAGGAAAGCGGTCGAGACCATCGTATCGTCGGCCAGCACACAATCAGGGTATCGGTAGCAGCCCGCCGCGAGGTGGGTTGGCTAGACGACGACGGCGGCGGTTTCGGGTGACAGCCAGACCGCAGCCTTGGGTGGCTTTGCCGGCCTCTTGGTGAGAGAGCAGAGCGTCATCGCTCGTCGGACAGCACCCGACGGACGTGGGTAAGTACGGGCAGGCATGTAGGGATGGTGGCGCTTTTTCGCCAAGGCACAGCCGAAACCTCGCAACGAAGCCACCCTTCCTTCCTTTCGAGCGAGCTGTGCTCACATCATCCTTGCCCGTCCGTGGAGCGAGTGTACAGTACATCGTCGTCCCTCCTTGACGCTGCACGTCCGCTTTCGGCGAAGACGAGTTGCAGGCAGGCCCACAACCAGGCCACGCCTGCCTGCGTGGCAGGCCTGCGTGCCACCACGTCGGAGGCGTCCGAAGTTCTGGCCCTTTGCTGTTTCGGCCACGCCACGCCCGGCCGGCTCTTCCGCCACGTTTTGCAGGCAGGCAGGCCACGCAGACGGGTGTTGGTCTCTGGCGGAGTCGGAGTTCGGGCTGTCGCACGCGCTTTATTGGGGCGCCGCCGACCTTCTTGTTGCCGCATCCGTACCGGTATGGTGCTGCTTCGGCCGCGCGACCGATACAGCTCAAACAGACGGACGATGCTGGTCATCAAGCAAGCTGGAAAGGGTCGGCTGGAAGAAGGACCTCGTCCCTGGCAGAAGACCCATCGTACCAGTCGATGCGAGATCGAGTCGAGCGAGGGGGGTGCAGTTTACCGTAGCGACTTTGATGCCTTTTCGGGATCTCGATTGCCCTGACATATCGGATGGACCTATGTACAGAGCACATAGCGTGGCCGTAGCGTAGCGCCGAGACGTGGGGGGAGATGGGGAGACTATGGGGAGACCACGCACGGAAGCGTTGATGTCAAAGACTCGCCTCGACGGCCAATCCAGCCCTAGCGGAGCAGCCGCTGACGCGTGGGAGCCGGTGTCTGGCGAGGGCCCCTGCCTCGCCTCCCCTCACATGCAAGGGACTGGCGAGCGAGATAAGCGGTCGTGGTCGTTTTCCATGCCAGGCCAGCCAGGCCTGCCGCCCCACGCCAACCGGCCTGAACCCTATCGACCTAAAATCATGCTTCCGGATGATTGCCGACGGACCAAGCCGAGCCTGACGAAGGAGGCGAATCGGGGGTGGGCCGCAACCAGTCGGCACCGGTCCCGACGGCTGGTTGCCTCCTCGCACCACAGCACCACCTTCAACGCCCAGCTTTCCCCCGTGGATACATCGATTTGAGACGAGTGGTAAGGTTAGGGGTACAACGATGAGGAAACCCGGGGCAACGACGGCCGATCACAACAGCGGAGGGAGCTCCCGTCCTGGCGCCGCAGCGGCAGGTCCTCGTTCCCCGATCGTCTGGCTGCGCAGTCGACCGGGTGGTCGAGCGGCCAGCTCGTTGCGCCTCTCGGTCAGGTTGTTGAGCAGCAACGTAAACGCCCTCGTCCGGCCTCTCGCGACCACCTTTGGATCCGCCTGATCCCCAGCTCCGTCATCGCCGCCGCGGCCAGTGGCAGGCCTGGCTGGCTGGGGGGCAGCATCGTGCGGACCGGCCGCAAATCGCCGTCGGTCGTCTTGATCCTCGTCGGCGTCGCACGCCGCGTGGGTCGCCGCTGCCAGGTTCGAAGATCTGCGTCTGCTGAGTCCTTCGCTGCTCAGCGGGCTGAGCACGGTACGAGGACTCAGGCACTCGGCGTCCAAGTCGCGCGACCGCTTGGCATCACCATTGGGCCTCGACATCGATCTTGCCGCATCGCCGCCGCCACCGCCACCGGCACAGGAACTCGCACCCGCCTCGAAGCGGAAGCCCTGCAACGCCATGCTCGCGCGCGGGCATGGCATAGGCTGTCTTGCGGGCTCGGCCAGACGTCTGCGCCGCTGCGCCCACCAAACGCCCAGATCCTCGCGCAGGCGCGCGTCGAGGCCGAGGTAGTCGGCATTGACCATCAGCCCGTCCCACCTCGCCTCGCCTGCCTCCATCATCCGCGCAAGCGCCCCAAAGTCGCCGTGGTAGAGGTAGTGCAGCACCGCCGGGAAGCTCGAGGGATCCGGCAACGGCAGATAGAGGGCCCTTGCCTTGGTCGAACCCTTGGGCAGGAAGCGCGGCCGGTTGTCGCGAGAAGGTGACCAGATCGAGGATCGTCGGCGGCTCGGGGAGTTGAGCAACGAGGTCGAAGTGTCCGCTGCAACCTCAGGCGCGGTCTCCTCTTGACGCGACGATGTGGGCGACCCTACCGCCTCGCGACTCGGACCGGCCTCATCGAAGAGCGACTCGAAAAGTGTCGACTGAGCGACGAGGTAGTCGCGGTGGACGCGGAACGCAAGGTGACGCTTCTCCTCGCTCGCGGACGACATCGCACGGGTCGCGCGACCTTCGGCTTCGAGCCTGGCCGAATGCGGTACGCTGAGGGCGCTCCGCGTCGCCGGTATGGGTGCGGCCATCTGTACGCCGGGTTCGCTGCAGCGTCGCACTCCTGCCGAGCAAGAGCGAGGAATAGCGAGCAGTGAGCCGGTCAACGACGGTGATGACGGCGTGGTCGATGCCGTATACTGCGGCTCGAACACGTCTGGCGTCGTTGGCACCGACGAGGCGCAGGAGACTGTTGAGCTGGGCGCAGACGAGGAGACACCGCTGGAGCTCGATTGTGACGGTGTCCCTTCGCTCCGAAGGCGGTGAGACGACGAATGGCTAATGGAATGGCTGGCGCTGCTGCTGCTCGAGCTGGCGTTGAGAAGCGAAGAGAGCGGCACAGCGCTTCGGCGAGCAAATGCAAAGGTCGGGGAGGCCGGAATGCTGCTCGGAGACGACCTTCCGCTCCGTGGAAGAGCCGCAATGGGCACGGGGACGATGATGGTCACGTCTGCGGTCTCGGGCTTGCTGTAGAAGTGCGAGGCGATGCCGTGCAGCCTCTTGACGAGCTCGGGCTTCGAGAGGCTAGGTGGTCGGTCTGGTTTCGAGGTCGTCATGGCGAAAAGCGCGATGGCAGAGACGAGGGCGGGTGTTGGCGACTAGCGAGGCGTGCGAATGTTCTTAGGAGAGACGGTGGACGAGATCAAGATGGAGTAATCCGGTGGCACCACAAGGATGGAGGAGTTGGGATGATGGAGAGATGATGAAGATGTGCACGAACGAAGACGGGGCGGGTGCAAGAGAAATCAGGTCGGGACCTGTCAAGGATCCCATCGCTAGCCATGGAGATCCCATCGCTAGCCATGGAAGCCTCGAGGTGTGCTGCAGCAGCAAGTTCATGCCCTTAGTCAGATCCGCAGCGAGGGAAGACAAAGGTACAATGGTGAGGGGGACACATAGGCGGCTACTGGTTAAGCTGGGCCGCAGCTTCCTACCGCCACGAGAGACAGAGAGAGGGGGGGAAAGGGGCCAGGGCGAAAGGTGACGCTCCCTTTGTCCTGGGGCGCAGAAGTCCGGCGATGCGCAGCGAACGAGAACCTGACGAGGGGGCGTAAGAGGGCGGTGCGGACGGCGACGTTGGACGGCCGTCGAGCAAAGCGGAAAGCAGCTGCTCGACGCACCGAGAATCGCCCCCGATGGGGGGCATTAGTCAAAGGCCACGTAGGCGGATCAAAGTGCCTCGACCTTGGACCCATCTGTTGCCTCGATTTGTAAACCGGATCTTCCATTGTGTTTCGGGACGATGGAGTCAAGCAGACTATCCTCGCGATGGCACCCCATTCTTGAGGTCCGCCTGATGTAGGTCGGACGAAGAGGGCCGGTCAGTTAGCGGAGGAGAGGCCTGGAAGGACGAGGGCGACGGCGGGACGGTATGCCAGCCAAGTCGTTTGCGGCCAGGACGACTGACTCTGCATGAAAGGAAGGCAAGGGACGCCTGCCTCCGTCGAAGCCCGACACCGATCTCCCACGTGTATGGCTCAGACCTGTCGAACAAAGGGCCCTCCGCCGTGGGCAAGCCGTGCCTGCCTTGCCTGCCTCTCTTTCGACGGACGCTCACGGTGCGGGATCCAGACCGGACATGGACGTCGCATCGTCAGTCGATGTCACTCACGTTCTCCTCCCTATCGAAGCGGTACTTACGGTAACACAAGACTCTGCTCGGCGACCCCAGCCTGCCTCTCAGCCTACCGCGGTGCCGCCTCGCTGCTGGTCCCACCGTGCCGGGTCGAACAAAGGGGAGGCAGGTCCTGTACTTACCCACGTTCAGACGCTCGACGTTCCTTGATTCGTTCCGTTGCTCTGGCACACCAGGCTCCCCCGCTCCCTGCCATGATCGTACGTACGCACCAAGACCTTGTAGGGCAGATGGCGCGGGTCCATCGGTGGTGCCCGTACCCGTGGCCGTGGGTGAGCGACGCGAGGGGCTCTATGGGCACGTCCAAACCGCCTCGACGCCGTGTATGATCGACAGGCCGCGTCCGGGACTGACGCCGACTGCACAGCCTGCAGGGCGCGCGACCGCAAAGGCATCGCAATCGCAACCTGCGACCTAGTTAGCGCCCAGCCAGCAAGGCCACCGTTTCGATGCGATGCCGTAACACCCGCCTAACTTGTCCGGACTCCGCAGGATGCTGGCAGCGGGTTTTGCGCCGGCCAGTGGACGCGCAGCCAAAGGGCTCAGCTCAGCCCCGCCCTGCCAGGTCCTGCGTCTGCGGAGGCGGATTTTCTACTCCTTTTTTGCCACGGTCGACCGACAGAACAAAGGGAACACGACACGCCCGGCGCCGCCTGGCAGGCCCCAACCTGGTTTCGCGCACTCTCGTAGTAGTTACCGTACATGGTCAGTTTCTCTCTAGAGGTCCAGGCGGGCAAGGCCGCTCCCGTGACACGCTCGGTGGCGTGGAGACGCCATCGTGCGTGCTGCCGACTGTGTCGCTGGGTGTGCATCGCTTTCAGGCGGACACGGCTTGCTCAATTGATTCCATCGTGGAACGGCAGGACACCTCTGGGGGCGGTCGCACTCTTGCTCCGTAACCGCAAACCCCCCTATCGTCGCTGGCCACCTAATCCGCCTTCCCTTTCTTCCCTGCCCTGTCGCATCCATGCGAAGACAGGGCACGGGCGCTGTTTAAGGCACGGCCGGGGTCTATGGCAAACTGCTCGGCAGTGTTCTGTTAAGGGAATGCCTCGTGGCCAAGGCGATTGACGCTGGGCTGTCATGTAGGTACACAGGGTTCCGGTGGTTACTGCTGGTAGAACTTTTTGCTGTTGGACCATGGAGCCACGGGCATGAATGGAAGCCACGTCGAGCACGCAGGTGGGGCGAAGGTCGAGACAGAGTACAATGGATGGTCAGCGAGGGCTCCCACAGTCACCTCGAAAGCCAGGCACACGCGTCCGAGGAAGGCGCGCCACTCACAGGTCCTCGACGTCGTCCTTGGAGCCAAGGAAGACGGGGCAGCGCTGGTGGATCTCTGTCGGCTGGATGTCAAGGATCCTCTCGGTTCCGGTCGTAGCAACGCCGCCGGCCTGGCAGCGTCGGAAAGGGAAGAAGGGAAAGGGCCGTGCACGCTGTCAGTTCTCGGTCGGCGCCGAGCGGACCGAGGCCTCCACCTCGGCCGGGGCCGGGGCCGAGGCGGCCGCCACTCACCTGCTCCGTCAAGAAGGCCATCGGGAATGCCTCGTAGAGCATGCGGAGCTTTCCGTTCTTGCTCTTCTTGTCACCCGGGTAGCCAAAGATGCCGCCGTAGAGGAGGGTGCGGTGGACGTCGGCCACCATGGATCCGATGTACCTCGCCGAGTAAGGCTTGGCGCCCTCGGCCTTGGGGAACTTGATGCTGTCGAGGTACTTGAGCACGGGCTCGTGGTAGTAGGCGCTGTTGCCCTCGTTGATCGAGTAGATCTTGCCGCGGTTGGGCAGCGTGATGTTGGGGTGCGTCAGGATAAACTCGCCGATGCCGTTGTCGAGCGTGTATCCATTGACGCCGTTGCCCGTGGTGAGGACCATGTTGGCGCTCGAGCCGTACATGCAGTAGCCGGCGGCCACCATCTCCCTGCCCGGTCGCAGCACGTCGTCGAGCGTCCCCTTGGAGCCCTCCTTGACCGTGTAGACGCCAAAGATGGTGCCGATGTTGACTCCGGCATCGATGTTGCTCGAGCCGTCGAGCGGGTCAAAGACGACGCAGTACTTGCCCTTGGACGACTCGAAGGTGCCGCCCTCCTCGCGCTCGCCGATAAAGATGGCCTCGTCGTCCTCCTCGGACACGAGCACGGCTGCCTTGCCCGAGGCGCGCAGCGAATTGATCATGATCTGGTTGGAGAGGACGTCGAGCTTCTTCTGGTCCTCGCCCTGGACGTTGGTGTTGCCGGCAGCGCCGATGCTACGGCGGGGCGACAGGGGAGACGGACGCCGAGGGGGGCGCAGGACAAGGGGCCGTCAGCGGAGCGTTCCCGGCGGGCCAGAAACGGAAGACAGGCGCGCCCACGCCGCAGCGCAAAGCTGTCGCGAGCTGACACCACGCCGGCCGTGCCAAGTCGGACTCACAGGTTGATCAGGCTTGCCTTTCGCACCATGCTCTCGATAAATTTGCTGCAGGAGGCGTCATGGCGGCGGTGCGGTGCGTTGCAACGGAGCAGCAAGGGAAAGGGAGAAAAGGTACGGGTTCAGTGAGCTGTCCGCTCATCGCCGGTCGTCTCGGCCAGCGCGACTGCCTCGAGGCGGGCCACGTGAGCCGCTCCCACAGCCCACGTCGATAGGCCGCCCGCTCGGACGCCACAGCCTGGCGCACTCACCAGGTAGTCTGCAGCGACGAGAGGAGGATGGTGAGGTCACCGCTTGCGGCGCTCTCCTGGCGCAGCTTGAAGCCCTCGGTCAGCACATGGCGGGTGAGGGTGATGATGTCGGTCGATGGCGGCTGGTATTCGTCGGATCCCATGGTGAAAGAAGGTGCAGGTGCTCGGGCGCGAGGCAGTGACGGTGCTTGAACTGAAGGCGAGGGGAATTGAAAGGCGTTGATGTAGCTGGAGTGTTGGCTTCGCAATGATAGATGGAGGTAGAAAGGCAAAGAGGGCGGCGGCATCAAGACCCGCACACGAGGTCGAGCGAGCGAGCGAGCCAGCCGGCCGGCCAGCCAGCCAGCCAGCGGGAGGGCGAACGAACAACGTCGGGATGGGGGTCCTACGGGCCGGCCGGGCCCGAGGACGCCGGCGGGGGACGACGCGAGTCGGGACTGGCCGCCGNGCGCNGNNGTGCCGNGCGAAGCGAAGCAAGCAGCTGAA